ATGCCTTTCCTGCCTCTTCTGTTTGGTCATTAGCACATCCCTTTCTGACTCTAGCCTTTCATTTCCAGATTCTGTTTAACAAATCTATTCAAAATGAGCAGCAATTAAACTACATTTTTTTTAAATCACTGACAAACCTGGAGAATTTTGGTTTAGGTTAAGCTGCAACATTTTTTAATATTCTTTTTCAAGAACAGCCAGCAAACAAAAAATTATTTAGTCCCTTGACTCGCAACTCCCTTGTGAAATATGTATAATATCTCCCATTTTACAGACAGAGAAATAGAAAGTGATTTTTTCCACGAGTGCAGGATGAACTTCTTGAGCTGGGCCTAGAACTTATGACTAGCTCTAGTACCTGTCCTCTTATTGCTAGATCATGACTATCAACATTTATTATTTTAATACATGAACTGCACATATCCAAAACAATATACAAGCTAGTTCAGTACATTGGGCTAGGTAGCTGATGGTGTAATTCAACTTAACGTTATTGAATTTTAAAGGAGTGATACTGATTTAAACTATTTGAGGATCTAGCATTACCTGTTTTGTTACATTGTTACGTTCTGCCCTCCCAAAATTGAGTTTACTCTATAAGCTTACTCTTGTGAGATTCAGCTGAGAAAAACCAAAAGTATTTGCACAATTACGCTGTGTGCACATGTGGTGTGGACATTTGGTTTCCTGGGGACAACTAACAGCAGCACACCTTCTGCTGCCGCTTCTTGTCCCTGGGGAACGCTTGTGCCATGGGTGCTCTGGAATGCAGCAAGTTACCCCAGGGGCAGTAGGGGAGATTGGGGCCAGCATTATGCTGGTCCCAGCAGCCTTACCTGGGTTCCTGGGGCCCTCCCAGGGCTGCAGCTCTGGTGATTCTGCTGTGTGGAGCCTGGCTGGCAGCTGCAGCTTGGCTCCGGGCGGCCCGGCTCTACTTTTGAGCGGTGTGCGTTCCCTGTGTGCGCGCTGCTCCATGTTTTTTCTTCACAGGTTTCTTTGACCCCATCCCTATCCTCTGTACTGCTTCCTTGCAGCGTGGAGAACAATTGAACATGTGCTATGTGGCACCACAGATGTGTCCCTGTCGCCACATACCATATGGCTGTGCTTGCCTGGCTGCAGCCTTAAGGAGCAACAAAACTCATAGCACAATTCTAACCTTGATCTTATACAGTACAAACAAAAGGAACAAAGTTACTGTATTTATCTGAATCCAAGGTGACTGAATTTAAGATGACCTCCAATAATTAGATTCTATACATGGAAAATACATCATTTTTTATCATTTTTCGTGTATCGAATCTAATTATTAGAGAGCCGTCTTAAATTCATTCCCCCATTCCTGCAGCAGGGAAAACTGTGGCATGGAAGGAGTAGGTAGGTCAAGACCACCCCCCCCCATGTCTCTACCCCCTGGCACCTGCCTTCCCCCTGGTATTGGTCCCCCTGCCTGGCCCCTTTCCTTCTAGCTCCCTCCCACTGCCTCTGCCCATGCCTCAGTCTTTTCTGCTTCCCCCTTGCTGTTTCTGCCTCCTTCCCCCCAGCCTCTCCCTGTCCCTGTCCCCTGCTGCTTCCCCTCCAGCTCTGGCAGGCTGTGCCCCACTGCAGCCCAGGGCACAGAGCATGTACTTGCTCTGGCACCAGCCCCAGCCCCAGTCCTTGTGAGATTCAGGGGACTCCTTGTTAGGCTCAGGGTGCCCCTCAGAAAATGCAAGCTCTTAGCTTTCATTATTTTTTTTGACTATGGAAAAATAAAACAGGAAATTTTCTATTGAAATGAACTCAGAAAGACTGCAAAAGGTCAGAATGTTTTTAATGCTGTTTGAATCTCTTGATTTATCTTGTGAATCATACCTGCACACCTAACAGTGCTAACAACACAAGGTACCTTGAGGCACCCTTGACAACATCTCAAGGCACCCCAAGGTGCCATAGCACCTTGGTTGAGAATCATTGGTGTGGTCTGATGCCTGTTGTTTAAAATGATCCATTAAGAGCCTTGTTACACATTGCACTATGAGCTATTCAAATGCTGATCTATGTTATTGCTAGCTTGAGTTTGAAGCAGTCACACCCTAAGGCTAAAAACCTTCCATGATTGCCCCCCATCTGCACAGCTCTGACTTGCTACTACAGGACTGGCAAGCAGGGGCCTAACTAGGAGCTACTGCTGTGAGTTGCCACTAGAGTGCTGGTGAACTAAGGCAGGCTTCTATTTGTGCTATAGGTTGTAGGGTGTGAAGGACATGAAGATGGGAGACAGAGTTAATGGGATGGGGATGAAAATGAATGAAAAGGGTGGTGGAAAGGAAATGGGGATGAGGGAAAGGTGGTGAAGTGAAATCAGCCGCTGAAGAATAAAATAAAAATAAGCCAAAAAAGGAAGTAAAAAAAAACCCTAAGAGGAAGTAAATTCAAGAAGGTCTCTTGTTTTAACAAATTGGGTTGGGGATTGGGATGGAGGAAGTGCTGGTCATGCATCTTGGGGTGGCTGGGAGGTGGGAGAGGTGAGTCAAGGTGCTTTTGGAGGAGTTACTGCCCCTGCCTTGGGAAGGAAGCCCCAGCTCATGGGGACCCAATCCAGCCCCCAGTGGTGATGCGTAGGGGGTACACGGGGGTGCATTTGCACCCCCTGAGAGCGCCAGTGCACCCCCTGACTGGTCATGCTTACCACTTAGGCAATGGGCAGTGGGGGCAGGTGGAAGCACTGGTGCCTCCCCTGCAGGTGCCGGCCAATTGCTGCAATTGGTGTAGCTGTTTCTGGGAGTGGCTGCAGTGATCGGCCGGTGTTTGCTCCCGGAAGAGGCCGCAGCCACTCCCAGAAGTGGCTGCAGTGATCTCAGTGATTGGCCATTGCAGGATTGCCTGTGGGGACCCCCTCAGTCAGAGGGACTGGTCGCAGGGAGGAGGGGGGGGGCATGTGCCCCCCCCCCCGACTAAGGTGGCACCAGTCGTCCATGCCAGGCCCCTCCTTTGTTTTTACCCACTCCTCCCCTAGAACCCATTACCATACTTGTCCATGCCCTGTGACTGGACTAGCAGGCACGTGGTCTGCAGGCTGTTTGCATGGAGCTGAACCCCTGGGGGTGGGAAGGTCACACCCATGGGGGCTGGAGGGACAGTTGGCTTGGTGCTAGAACTACCCCCTAGGCAGTCAAGTTCAAGGTGCAGAAAGCTTGTCCACACAAAACAGGAGGGTGAGAAGGGGACACTGCATTCTGGGATGCTGGAGGACCGCAACTTGGGCAGCTCATCTGTGGGGAATGGCTACACATTAATGAAACACAACCTGGGTAACACGGATCAGAGAGAAATCTGCCCTGGAGTTGGTGTAACTTTAACCCGCTTAAAGTGTACTTAGAACTGTTTCAGGTATTTATATGTGGACAATCCAGGGCTTAAGAGTTCCAGGAGCTGTATTAAATTAATGTGTAACAGGACCCTAACAATAGTTATTTTTTCTTCTCCAAGTCTGCAGTAGAGGGCCTACTATTAAAATCACTGCAACAGCACAAAGGAAAAAGGACATAAATCAATTTGCAGATTTTGGGGATAGATAAAGAACTCCATTTTTCACCATTGCCTGTCTTTTGATCTCAGGAATTAAAATGCATACAGAATAAATCCAAATACCATGGTTAGAACAAACCCAGTTAGAGTGTGCGCTTTGCCCTGCTCTCCTGGGATACAGTAATTCTTTTAGAAACGGTCAGATTGATTTTCATAGTTTGCCAGTAGTTTCCTTCTGTTAACAAGGGAATATGCAAATTAGCTAATTGGGCCAATCGGCAACCCTGAACAGTAAATGAAGGGGGTGGGGGGCTTGCTTTTACCCGCTCTAGGTCTACAGCCCGTTCCTAAGCTGATGCAATAATAATACAGCACAAATAAGTGGGTTAATAATATATATATTATTTAACAACCATCAACAATCAACACTAACAACACTACTATATACATATTAAATATACTCAATAGCACTCTAACAACAAAGACCAGCAACAATATCAACAAAACAATCCAACAGTGAGGGTGCTGGAGAGCAATCCTGCACTCTCGCTCTTGCTCTCGCTCTCTCCATAGCATTCGCACATGCTGTTTAGTCATGCCACCCACTTGCTGGCAGCCCCAGGCTCTCTCTTCAAAAGGGTATTGGTCCCCCAGGCCCTCATGTTGTGCGCCTGATACACACTTTGGACCACGCAGCCCACCGATAGGATAGGTCTCCCTGACCCTCACCCAACCTGCATCCGTGCTCCAGACTCACACAACTCTGTCAGTCCCTCACCATCAAGACCTATGCTGCTTCAAATACACAGGCATCCGGGAAGAGATGGACCTCTTGGGTCTGCCCTCATTCAACTGTCTTAACCTGTCAGCCCCAAGCACACCGAACAGAGAACAGAGAGCCCCGATCTGCCTAATCTGGCCCCTTTTATCCATAAAGGTGACTGGCACCTGCCAATCGCCCAACCAACCAATCATCCTCTGGTGCACACATCACTCATGTCTCTTTCACCTGGCATGCTGATGTGCACACAACATCTAACTTTCATTTAAAAGTAAAAATTTTAATTTACTTCAGAGGCTTTCCCACCTTTACTGAGGCCTTACCATGCATGCTTGTATCTCAAATGTAGGTCAACTGCTGTCAGAGGTGAGGAGTTCAGCAAATCCAGGACCTTCCAGTTTTCAGGTACTCTGAGCATGTTCAAATTATCAAAAGGCCAGGGTGCATTCTGCCTTGTGGCTCCAATACTCTTTCTGTTACAAAGGTGGATTGATTATTTGGAACACACGATGCGACAAGTCTTATGAAGAACAAGGAATTAGCTGTTCCTACTTTCCTATCTTTTTGCATCTTTACAAATATTAATAAGCTCTTGGCATGTCTACACATGCATTTATACCAGCTTAAATTTACTATGCAGTAAATTACTGCACATTAAGCAGGAATAAGCCAGCATCTACACGTGCAGGCATTAAAGCGCATTAACTCTGTGTGTGATCTGACTTGGGACTAAATTTAGTCTCAAGTAAGTCCACACACACAGTGTTACTGCACAATAAGGCATCTACATGTGCTTTACTGCACAGTAACTAATGGGGCATACATTTGATACCTGCATGATACAGGTATGAAATTTATGTTAAGGTCAGAGTAAGTCTCCATATTTACTGTGCAGCAAGGGCCTGCATGTGTAGCTGTCCACCCATACTATGCAGTTATTTTAGTTACTGCGCAGTAAACATGCATGTATAGATGTGCCCTCTGTGACTTTTTTCTATCTTTGCAGAAAGTTTTAACAAGCATTTATTGTCTTGAGTGTTATCTGTTATCTTTGCCTCCATTTTTTATATTATCTGATACATATCAGGTTTGAAACCATAGGAAGAATATTAGCATTTCACATTGCAAGAATGTTTCCTATAATTAGAATGTCTGGGTAATCACTAGAAAAGAGACCACTTCAATTTTCTAAAGTACAAAGAAGTTGGTCCAAGTACTAGTTGGAGTAAATTGTGATTTGAAGGCAAAGGATACACCAAGAAGACTTTAAGTGTTATTATTTGATATATGTGTCACTACTCCAATCAAGATAGCATAAATGAATGCTGTTGAGCTTTTATGGAGACAAAACTGATGCTATTGGATGTACAGGTATGATATGGAGGATGCTCATTTCAGGGTCAGGAGCATATCATTTACATTTTCCAATGCTTTTAAAGGAAAAGAAAAAAATGTCAAGAGTGGAACATTCCTGTTGTTTCAATTTAATGAGCATGGAGCATTGTAATAGGCCTGCTGCTTTCTGTACATTTTACATGATGCAGCAAATGATATTTTGTCCGTGCCATCGCAGAGTTCTGTAAAAGTCTGGGAACTGGAATGTGGCCCAGGTTGGCAGTAATCAAACTCATTATCTGGCACCAGACTGTCAATAGGAATGCTATGAATTCTATGAGTTTCTAGTCTCAGCCTAAGCCTTCTAATGTCTATTTGGCACGACCACCACCACCCACACTATTGTCTTCTGTCTTGGGCAGCTCTTCAGAGAATGACTTAAGAACTGAGGATCTGGTCTAAAACTGATGAAAGTCAGTGGCAGCTGTTGAAAGCTCAGCAATTTTGAAAACCAGGCAGTTTATTTAGGTAGCTAAATAAGGATTTAGAAGCTTAAGTTTGGTTACTTATTTTTTAAAGTGTTGACCATGATACAGCTTCTTTTTAAAAACAGTTAAGGTATTTGTAACAGAATGCCTTGTCCCCATAAGAGGGAGCTGAGTAGCTGCAGCTCCAGGGACATTGCTGGTAAGGGAGTGACTCACTTTTCTCTCTAGGGTTTTTAAAATAAAACTAATAGGATAGCAAACTGTGAGGGAACAGTTGTGAACCAGAAGCAAGCAGTGACCTGAACAGCTGACTGCATGGTGAGGTCAGACTCCTGTGCTAGGGCCAGAGCCACAGGAGAGCCCTCCCAGTGTGTGGGACAGGCCAACAGGATTTTGTTGTTGTTTTGTTTGCTCAAAGAATGTTTTAGTTGTGTGACCTGGCTGAGGAGCTCCTCAGGAAGCAAAAGCCTGCTTGGAAAAGCCCACAATAAAGGCAACCTGCTTACGGTATTTTTTTAAGCAAAGAAGCAGCAAGAAAGGAGCCTATAGTAGGTTGATCTGGAAAATAAAGACCTGTCCATTTTCCTGCTAAACAACTGGAGAACTTCAGATTTTTAAGGGTTATCTGAATGCCAACAAGCCCTGGAGGACTTCAAGGATTCTCTCAGAGATTTAGTAGCATAGTTTGTGAAGTTAGAATAGCAGAGTGATGGACAGTCCTGCCTGGTTCATTTCCTTCTCTATCTTTTCCCACTCTTACAGCTGCACCACCTCTGCACATGAGAAGTGGCAAATGTTAATTTTCAATAGTTGGTAATTCAGCTCTTCTGAGTGGATTTTCATGAGGTAGAGATACTTCTTAGGCCTACAGTTATATTTCACAGGATGGCTACAAACAAGAAGCTATGAGAACTTCTCAGAAAAAAGTCACACAGCATCTCGCTTTCTCAGAGATGGGAACAGAACCCATTTCTGAACTTTCACATGAGCACCTACTCCCCCAGACTATGCTGCTTTCCTGTGTGGGCCTTTCATAGTCAGAAGGCACATCTACAGATTAATTAATGTGCCATAATTACAGTGCATTAAGTTTAATACCTGTAATAACAGGTACTAAACTTAATGCACCATAATTGAAGCTACTGTGCATTAGTGCAAACAAACACTTTTTTTTGTGACACTTAATGCTCATCGGACTAGACTACTGCAGATTAGCACATTACAACCTTTTTTGCTAGCCATGCTAATGCACAGTAGAATTAGCCCAATAGGAATTAAGCATCTCATGTAGATGCGCCCAGAAGAGTTGTACTGATAGTATTTAAGTAATTATCACAGAAGCCTTATGACATCATCTTATCCTCATAGGCACAGAAAGTTATATAGTTATTATAACTAACAAGTTTTGCACTCTGGGTGCACGTGGGGGTGGGGATGGGGTGGGGAAGGGATGCTGATTGCCAAAGAATAGGGGAGGGATGGAGGTAAGAACAGAGGATAGTCAGTCTTACCTGCACCCAGCTTCTACTGGGTGGCATGCAGCTGTCTTTGCCTGGCTTCTACAGCAAATTATCCTAGGTTAGGGACAGACAGTACATGTAAACTGGTTTAAGTGATCAGAAACTGGTTTAAACCTGTAACAGAGCATAAGTTCAGTGTCCATAAACCAGTTTCAAAATGGACGAAACTGGTTTAAGATAAACCTGGTTGAATGTAGTATCAGACTTAACTGATTTGGGTCAAACCAGTGTATGCAATGTCTGTCCCAGACCCCTTCCAAGTTAAACCAGAGTCACCCAGCATCCCAGATACTTTGCAGCCCTGGGCTGGGCTGTCTGCACCAGAGTGCAGGGCTGGCCCCTCCCCTTTGCTCCATAGCTGGAGCTCTGGCGGAGACTAGGCACAGCAGGGTCTGCCTGGCTCATAGACCTCAGCCCTACGGACCCTGGGCATGTGGTTTGCTACCTAATGCTGAGAGATGGCTGCGTGTGTGTCTCCAATTTCAATGGGACAGGACAAAGGCAGACAGGACAGTGTCCACTTATGGCTTTTTGGAGCTAATCAACAGGTTAATCAAGAGCTTGAACTAATGAGAGAGGCTTTTGTTTTCTTGATGGGCTGCTACACACTGTGTTATCAGCTCCCTGCTGGCTCCCTTGCCTGTCAGGTTTGCAGACAGTATGAAGAAGCAGAGAGAGGGAGAGTGAAAAGCTCATCAACAGACGCATGCAATGCACACCCCTGCTTTGCCTCAGAGTACAAACTGGAGGTTGGGGTCTGGTAACACTCCCATCTCTTGAGCAGCGACTGGGGAAAAGCCTAGTACTGTGCAAGCAAGGTGAGGGTTTAAACCCCTCCCTAATCAGAGTGTCGTGCTGGAGGCTGGCCATGGCCACCCTCAGTTCAGCACTGTTGAAGGGAGGAGAGAGCTGGCTTCTAGTATGAGCCACTGCGAGCATGTGCCTGCATTTCCTCAGTCCAGAGGGAATGTCTGTACACTTGCAAACTGGTTCAACCTAGGTAGGTTAGACTAACATTCAAAGATTGAATCAATTCAGGCTCAGGCTTTTTGAATGCTTGTCCCTAGCCCTAAGGGAAATTTAGCATTCCAATGCCCCCCTAAGTCAGGATGCTGTGCTGATACTCTACTTACTCCCCACTAGTTACATACTGCATAGAGGGGTTGAGACTTGCCCAATCACTTGCCCAGACACTGAGTCAGTGTTTTAGCTGGGATTACAATTTAATAGTCCTGGATTTCTAGCAGCTTGATCAATATAGCTATAACACCCCTGTTATAAAGTTATTTAGGAGTGATTGCTTTGGGTAGGTGGCATCCTTCATTTCATCAGAATGAAAGTCTGTCATTTGTCTTTGAATTTACATACAAACGTGATTTTTATTTGCCTTTGAATATGAAAAGAACCTTACATTTATACAGCTGAGCAAACGCTAGACAGCAAATAATTTATGTAATGCTCTTTATACTCATAAACATTCTGTTATTTCCTCATATTCATTTCTTATTCAGAGTGCTTAACCATTTTTATTTTGCTAGATAAATTGCAAACAGTCTTCTGCAAAAAAGATGACTAACATTGGCGTTACTTTTTCATTCATCAGAGAAATTGCATAATATTGTATCTGCTCCCTAACTGAAGAATTAATGCAGGACTTCAGGTGTGAATACTTGGCCATACAACTTTAAAACTTTGTTCCTACAAATACTTGCACAAGAAGCTTTGAATTTCATTTTGTGCAAACAGTTGTGATAATCAAACTTGCTCTCATGACTGCTCATTATCAAGATTAATTAATTTTAAATTGAGAACAAATACTCTAATTTTTTCTAGTTATTTCCCATATTCTGTTAATTTCCATTAAACTCAACCTTTTAATTATTTTGAAAGGAAATAGAAAACATATTCTTAGTTTGTATGTCTAAAATACGCTATGGCATCTCAGTGTATTTAGCTGACAAATATTTCATTATCCATTTATCAAAGCAAATGAAAATATATTTAATATTGTACAGAGTACTATTGTATATGCTTTTAGACAGCGTGCAATATTAATAGTTTA